GATTTTTCATCTCTGGAGGTTATTAAGGTGGCAGATACAGTGGGGCAAATAAGTATTTGATACACTGCCGATTTTTCACATTTTCCCACTTGGAGAGAATGGACAGTTCTGTAATTTTCATCGTAGGAACACCTCAACTGTGAGAGACAGAATCTACAAAAGAATTCCAGTAAATCACATTGTTATATTTTTACATAATTTATTTCCATTTTATTGCATGAAATAAGTATTTGATCGCCTACCAACCAGCATAAATTCTGGCTCTCACAGACCTGTTAGTTTGTCTTTAAGGGTACGTTTACACGGAAACGCTCTTGACTGTATACGCATAGTTTCGTTAAAACGATTGCTGTGTAGACGGGAAGTATTTGCATTGACATAAACAGTGAAAACGAATAAAACAATGTCTGAGCATGCGCATTACCCTTGAAGACGATGCCGTCATTAGCGACTTCTAGCGACTTTTAGGACAGCCAATATCTACTTTCCTTGCTGAGGAGTTGGCAACACTGCGCGGAAGAGGGAGCATAACGAAGTCATGGCGGACGCAGAGAAAACACAAGGGAAAAGAGTTGTTTGTGTGGACTCACAACAAAGTAGAACTTCTACTGAAAGTTGCGTTGGAGTACAAGTGTACTAAACTTCAAGAGAATGTTGACTGAAGTCGTGTCAGACATATTCCGATATAACGCAGGCATTTCAGGCACAGTATCCGAAGGAACCATGTAGTGGAAAGAATTTCCCTCATGATGCTAAAAAGATTTCAAAAGCTCAAGTCACGACCAAGGTAAAAAACATACGTGTCAAATACAGAGAGGCGGTGGACACCGGACGTCGGAGTGGGCAGGGACGAGTAGTGTTTGTTTTTTATGAGCTTTGTGAAGAGATCTGGGGTGGGTCGCCTGCTACACATTCCATCGACAACGGCATCGAAACGGGTGACCTGGAAGAAGAGTCTTCATCATCTGAGGTGCCTGCTAATTCTCCAAACTCCACAGATGAATCCCTTGATCTTGGTGCAGTTGCAAAGCAGCGTCGGGATTTGCTCCAGGTAGTACTTTATGAATCATATGACAATGTTTATTGCACATTTTGGGAAACAGCAATTTAATAAGTAAAAGAATAACTTTTTAATTTTCATATGAGTTATTACAGCTTCTGAAAAGCTTGCCAATTATTATTCAATATGTACATTTTATTAGTAATAATATTCATGATGTGCTTTATGTTAACAGGCTGAAGAGGAAGGCTCAGGTTGATCTGGCTGAGGAAGATATAAAAATAAAGAGGAGGATGTTGGATTTGATTGAGTCGACGACTACAACCTTCGCCGATAACATACAGCAGATAACTAGCACCATTCAGCAGGGATTTTCCTTGATGAATGAGATCTTCCAGCAGCAGCTTGCTCACCACCACTGCAGCAGTGGACAATTTCAAGGGCGCCCAGCATCATTCAGGCACACCACACTACACCCACCTACACAGACCTTTATGCGCACACCTACGAGGTCCAATCAACCAGTGACTCAATTTGGACCATACCCCCCTGAAGTATACACACCTACACATAGCACCCCACAGCCGCAAACCTCATTTTCATACACCCATGCACTGCTGCAGGATGACACTGATGACTGAATGATTCCACATTACTTTGTTTACACAATTAAGCATTTTGTTTTTGACCTGTTGGCCATGCTAATTGTGTGTGTCTTTTGAAGTTATATGTGAAGTGTTATTTTGAAGTACAAAATAGAAGTTGCAGTAATTTATTTTGTTTTACAGAATTTTATACAATCAAGCATGTTGTATTTTTCACTAGTGTAAGACACTATAAAAGAAACAGTTAAAATAAAAAAGTGGTTTCAGTCTAATTTTACAGAACACTTTCAAAGTAAGTATACAAATAATAGGGGAATGTACTTTTTTTGAAGACAACTGTCTTGATGTCAAGTTTTTAGTTTTAAGGGTCAAGGTATTTTGCAAGCACTCTCCTCATTCCCTTTCCCTCTCCTTCATTACAGTCTGTGCGGTAGTTGTTGTATTGAGTAGGAGGCTGTAATTCTTTATTACTTTGCATTTCTCCCAACACAGAGTGTTCAGCCACTGTCTCCTTTCTGTCCTCACAAAAGTTGTGGAGAACAAAGCAGGCGTAAATAACATGGGGCAGGTCCTGCATGTTGATGTCAATGGGTCTTTTCAGTGCAGCAAACCTGGTCTTGAGGCGACCAAAAGCACACTCGATGACCATCCGTGCCCTACACAAACAGAGCCCAAAGTACTGTTCTTGACGTGTGGAGCCACTGTTTGCATATTCTTTCATCAAGTAAGGCAGCAGAGGAGGGTAGGCTGGGTCACCAAGAAGAAAAATTGGTATGGCCTCCTCATTCTTCACAATCTGCTTTTTCAGAGGAGGGATTTTACCAGTCTTTTAGTAATCCTGCTGTTCAAAGCTGAGCTGAAACCTGACAAGCTTTAACTCCTTCTGTTAGTTAAACATGTATAAAGCTTCATGTGTATGAAATTAATCCGACCTAGGTGAAATTCACAGGATATTGTGAGTATCCAAAAAAAGAATAGGCTCAGAAGAATGCAACATTTTTTCTTGGCTCTGTGACAAAGCATTAGCACTAGTCCAACAGAGGCTACACATAACTTCAACTGTGACCAGCTGGTTAGTATGGAACCCTTCATTTAGTGATAAACAGTTCTGCAGATGTGGTTTCATCCTTTAACTTGCGACCAAAGGCGTTAGCAGTCTTCTGTAGCCATCCCTCATCGCTCAAGTAATAAAGCGTCAATGCAACCTTTTTGAGCGTGTCAGCTGGTGCCCTTATGTTTGTTGTTTGCCCTTCAATATATGGACGAAGTTCCTTGCTCAGCATGATGAGAGATGATTTGGACATGCAAAGTTCTCCCTCCATTCGTCTTCCACAGCAACGCCACCGACAAAGTTGTCCCACCAACTGCTTGTTCTACCAGGTCTAACCCAAAATCTTCTCCTTGTTGCCCTTCTGGTTGTCCTCCACGGTGGATCTAAACACGAGACCTACGAAGTTACCAGCATTATTTTGTTGGTCACAGCAGTAGTAAAGGAGCAGTTGTACTAATGCTAATAAGTTCATTAGCATCTGTGTGTAGCATGAAAGCATATAGTTCGCCATTGTTTATGTTGATGTCGCAGTCGATGTGACACTAGCAGTAGCTGACGCAGGGCGATGGCGTCATCGTTTCATAAACATATGCGGATTATAACGTTGACACGAAAACGTTTTAGCTGGCGTTTTGAAACTCTCCACTTTGGGACCTGTTTTAAAAGGTCTCCGTTTTCGCTACCCGGCTAACCTGTTTCCATCTAAACGGAAGGCCAAAACACATACTAAAGTAGGCGTTTATAGTCGAGCGGTTCCGTATAAACGTACTCTATCCTCCACTCATTGCCTGTATTAATTGCACCTGTTTGAACTCGTTACCTGTATAAAAGATACCTGTCCACACACTCAATCTATCAGACTCCAACTTCTCCACTATAGGCAAGACCAAAGAGCTGTCTAAGGACACTAGGGACAAAACTATAGACCTGCACAAGGCTGAGATGGGCTACAGGACAATAGGCAAACAGCTTGGTGAGAAGGCAACAACTGTTGGCGCAATTATTAGAAAATGGAAGAAATTCAAGATGACTATCAGTCTCCCTCAGACTGGGGCTTCATGCAAGATCTCGGCTTGTGGAGTATCAGTGATCCTGAGAAAGGTGAGGGATCAGCCTAGAAGTACACGGGAGGACCTGGTCAATGACCCGAAGAGAGCTGGGACCGCAGCCTCAACGGTTACCATTAATAACACACTACACCGTCGTGGCTTAAAATCCTGCAGTGCACGCAAAGTCCCTCTGCCCAAGCCAGCACATGACCAGGCCCGTCTGAAGTTTGCCAAAGACCATCTGGATGATCCAGAGGAGGCATGGGAGAAGGTCATGTGGTCAGATGAGACCAAAACAGAACTTTTTGGTATAAACTCCACTCGCCGTGTTTGGAGGAAGAAGAAGCATGAGTACAATCCCAAGAACACATCCCAACAGTAAGAGCATTTAAGATGGGCCGTGGCTGGGACTTCCAGCATGACAGTGACCCCAAACACACAGCCAGGGCAACTAAGGAGTGGCTCCGTAAGAAAGACTTCTAGGGCGTCCTGGAGTGGCCTAGCCAGTCTCCAGAGCTGAACCCAATAGAAAATCTATGGAGGGAGCTGAAACTCCGTGTTGCCCAGCGACAGCCCCAAAACCTGAAAGATCTGGAGAAGACCTGTATGGAGGAGTGGGCCAAAATCCCCGCTGCAGTGTGTGCAAACCTGATCAAGAACTACAGGAAACATCTGACCTCTGTAATTGTAAACAAAGGTTTCAGTACCAAATAGTCTATTTTTCTATTGTATCAAATACTTATTTCATGCAATAAAATGGAAATTATTTAAAAATCTAACAATGTGATTTACTGGAATTTTTTTGTAGATTCTGTCTCTCACAGTTGAGGTGTACCTACGATGAAAATTACAGATCTGTCCATTCTTTGTAAGTGGGAAAACTTGAAAAATTGGCAGTGTGTCAAATACTTATTTGCCCTACTGTAGGTGCTTCTTGGTCAGCCAGTTGTAGCAAGTGGGTATTTTTTTTCTGAGATCCCAGAAAAAATGCATAATAAAGCTGGCATCTTCTTGCACAAGCCTGGTTTCAAATTTCACAAATATTTTATTGTATGCTACTATTCAGATTGAAAATGCTCTAGGATTGGCTCCTTTCAATTGAATGAGTACGCTGCATTTTTTTTCAAGACTTTTGTTGAACTGATTAGTCTAATGGTGTGATTCCAGTACATAATGAAGCAGATTTTTGGCCAGTATAAATGCACAATATCAGGAGAGTATCATCATTTGGAGTAAATTGATTTGTGATTGCCTGTGCCAATGAAATGAAAGCCTTCTGGTTGCTGTCTTCACAGAGTCGACCCAGGTGGAGAAGCCCACCATGACCCTTGCCACCCAGTCCCAGTCATCTTCAGGCTCAGGGAGCTTGAACCCATCATCAGCACCCTCAGGATCGTCAGCCTCCACAGTGCCTGTGTCTCCAGTCCCACAGTCCCCTGCCCCTCCAGTACTCCAGGACCCAGCCTTGCTTCGCCAGCTTCTCCCAGCACTTCAGACTGCCCTGCAGCTAAACAATGCTACTATGGACATGGCAAAAATCAATGAAGGTAAGAAAGATTTAAGATGCAAATGATGCATATGTGCATTCAGAAGGTGTCTACATTCAGATACAGTAGCTGCAGTGACTATGTTTGATAAGCACTTATAAGAAGATACTTTGAATGAATATCCTGTAATTTTGCCAGTTTTATTTTCAAGTTGTCAAAATACCCAGATTCCTTAAGCTTCTTTGCCAAACAAATTATATATTGAACATATTGTTCACATCTTCTGTTTAGTTTACAGTCTTTGGATTTTGTGACACTACTGACATTAGAAGTGAAAAATGACGGAAGTATTCAAACTTGTGATAATTTGGCAACACTATTGTAAACAGCCCAAGTACAGTTTGGCCACCCATTTGGCCATCTGCGAACAGCTCCTCCTCTCTTTGTTCTTAACACCACACTGTCAATCAAAGACCCAGTTCTTCTACTAAGTTATTAGCAAGCTAGTAAGGATAGCTAAGCTAATGTTAGAATAACCACGGGCTGTTGAAGAGGTTGGCACACTGTGTATTATAGCTGCTAGCCAGTGTTGACTGCTTTGCAAATGGTATATGTTAATGATAATTCTTAAACTTTGATGTTGAATGTTGCTCCCTTAGTCCAGAGGAATACTGAAAAATATCTTTCAAAGGTCTCATCCTCTGGATGCGCAGACAGTCTGGATCATACTTAATGTTAGAAAATTAAGAAAACACACTTGGGAAAGATGGACAGTGTGATTAGTGAGCCAGTTAATTTGTTTAGAATCTTCCCAGGCTTCAGCCAGTGCTGCTGAAGCAGCGAGAGAGAGGTCTACCTGCACCGTGCCAGAGGTCTTGACCTGATGCAGGCTGTCCTGCTGGTTGGGTACAGGACTGAGTCTTTTCTTACTTAAAATTCTTCCATAGATTAAACTTAATGTCTTCCATAAAAATCATACACGTGAGAATGTTTTAATCCTTTCCTCTGCCCATACCATCCAGACCTCTCTGCATCCTCTGTGGAGACATGCATTTTAAATGTCTCAGCCATGTCAAGCTTATACATATTTAACTGACTGAGTTTGACTGTAAAATTAACTGTGGTGTAATTCACAGAAAATGCTATTAGCAGGAGTTAAAATAGTATATGTGTGCACAGGCTCACTGTGTCCGTTTGCCCGTCTGCAGTTCTCACAGCTGCTGTCACACAAGCTTCGTTACAGTCAATGCTCCATAAGATTCTCACTGCTGGACCATCAGCTTTCAATATCACTACTATCCTCTCTCAAGCTGCTCAACTCTCCAACCAAGGTAAGTGAAACACATGCAGAACCCTGCCTGTTTCTCCACTGTATGCAGAAGTAGTCAGTTGGCTATTGAAAACTGTTTTACCCTTACAGGTTTTCATTAAGCCTTCATCAGGTGATGGAGACATTTTGGAACATCAAATAAGTGTGTGGGTTATCTTTTTGCTTTATTTATTGCCTACACATCTGAAGCAAAGAAGTTTTTGGGGAGCTACTTGCACTTTGCACTTTTCTCAATGTACTGTATGTCTGAGTGAAACCCTGAGCAACATAACATAGAAGTGCCATATGTCTGAAGGACAGAACGCTAACAGTTTGAAGCAGCAGTGTTACCTGTCTCATTTCTGAAAAGGGCTTTACTGTATAAACACGTGTTGACATGCCCTCTCAGCAAAGAATGTAGGCATGAGCATTCAGCCCTGGGAATTTCTGTATGTTTCCTCTGTGTTAAATACTTCTAATTATGGCGATTTCTCTGACATTTACTTATATAGCAGTGTTCCTGGTGTTTATTGTATGGATGCTGATTCAGCATCCATACTATGTTTTCCAATTATTTATCATTGTGTGGATGTTGATTCAGCATCCACACCATGTTTTCCTGGTATTGATTGTATGGATGCTGAATCAGCATCCATACTATGTTATCCTGGTCTTTATTATTGTATGGATGCTGATTCATCATCCATACTATGTTATCCTGGTCTTTATTATTATTATTATCATTATTCTGTTGGTTTTTGGCACTTAATTTTTTCAGCATACTTTCAGCTATTTCAGGTATCAAAATGTTCAGCTCTTCAAGGACATTCATGCTTCTCTTCAGAATTTTTCTAAACTTCATACTTTTGAAATATTTAGCTTTATTTTGAAAGTTTTGCCCCATTCAAATGAATGGAGAAATTCTACTTCAGCATACTTTCAGGTATGAAAATGTTCAGCTCCTCAAGGACATTCATGCTTTTCTTTAGGATTTTTCCAAACCTTATATCTTTGAAATATTTAGCTTTATTTTGAAAGTTTTGCCCCATTCAAATGAATGGAGAAATTCTACTTCAGCATACTTTCAGGTATGAAAATGTTCAGCTCCTCAAGGACATTCATGCTTTTCTTTAGGATTTTTCCAAACCTTATATCTTTGAAATATTTAGCTTTATTTTGAAAGTTTTGCCCCATTCAAATGAATGGAGAAATTCTACTTCAGCATACTTTCAGGTATGAAAATGTTCAGCTCCTCAAGGACATTCATGCTTTTCTTTAGGATTTTTCCAAACCTTATATCTTTGAAATATTTAGCTTTATTTTGAAAGTTTTGCCCCATTCAAATGAATGGAGAAATTCTACTTCAGCATACTTTCAGGTATGAAAATGTTCAGCTCCTCAAGGACATTCATGCTTTTCTTTAGGATTTTTCCAAACCTTATATCTTTGAAATATTTAGCTTTATTTTGAAAGTTTTGCCCCATTCAAATGAATGGGGAAAATTCAATGTCAGCATACTTTTTAGCTATTTCAGGTATCAACATGTTCAGCTCTTCAAGGATATTCATGCTTCTATTCTGAAGTTTTCTAATCTTAATACTTTTGAAATATTTAGCTTTATTTTGAAAGTTTTGCCCCATTCAAATGAATGGGGAAAATTCAATGTCAGCATACTTTTTAGCTATTTCAGGTATCAACATGTTCAGCTCTTCAAGGATATTCATGCTTCTATTCTGAAGTTTTCTAATCTTAATACTTTTGAAATATTTAGCTTTATTTTGAAAATCTTGCCCCATTCAAATGAATGGTAAAATTCTAATTCAGCATAATTTTAGCTATCAAAATGTTAAGCTTTTTCAGGGCAATCTTTCAGCACTCAGCATCCATACGCATTTTCTTCAGAAAATGCATTTCTGTAGTTATTTTTCTGATTTCTTCCATCCAGTTTTCGGCACTTAACTACTTCAGCATACTTTCAGGTATGCTAGAAAAATCATTCTGGTATCAAAATGTTCAGCTTTTTAAGGACGTATCTTCTTCTTTCAGAATTTTTCTAAACTTCATAGTTTTTAAACTATTTAGCTTTTTTCAGCTAAATTTTGCCCATTCAAATGAATTGGAAGATTTTTCACATCTTAACATCTTATGCATACCTTCAGCTCAACCACCATTTCAACTAATAACTATTCAGCAACTCTTGAGCTATTTTGAATTTTTCTCTACTTCACACATTTAAAATATTCAGCTTTATTGTGAAAATCTCACCTCATTCAAATGAATTGGGAAATTCTACTTCAGCATACTTTCAACTAATTCAGGTATCAAAATGTTCAGCTCTTCAATTACATTCATGCTTCTATTCAGAATTTTTCTAAACTTCATACTTTTGAAATTATTAGGTTTATTTTGAACAGTTTGCCCCATTCACATAAATAGGAAAATTCTACTTCAGCATACTTTCAGCTATCAAAATGTTGAACTCTTAAAGGACATTAATGCTCCTATGCAGCACTCAGCATCTATATGCATTTTCTTCAGAAAATGCAATTTTCTAGTTAAATGCATCAGTCTCTTAGGTTGCCTTTCTTTTTGCCTGTGTTTCTAGCAGCTCAGCAGTCGAACCAGTCACCAATGTCATTAACATCAGACGCCTCATCACCCAGGTCCTATGTTTCTCCAAGGATCAGTACACCACAAATCAATGCCGGTCCTCTAAAGCCCATCCTCAGCACACAGCCTGTCATCTCCCAGCCAAAAGTAAGAAGACAAAAAATCAACTATGTCCTCAGCAAGGGTAGAGCAGCAGAGAACTAGTGCGGTGGCAAAAAGTAGCCATCTGGGTGAATGTTTTTACCTGTGTCTCTAGTGAGTCTGGATGACATGTAGCATATACAAGTGACACGTGCGCATTTATGAAGTCAGATGCACAATGAATCCTGTGGCCACACACCCAGGCAGTATGAATGAAACATTTGTATAAACAGGGAGCCCTGACCTCAGATTTCTTAACTGATTTTCAGTGATGATTAATGATCCTGTGGAGAGGACTTGTTTTCATATACTATTTCTAACTGGCTGCCTTCAGGTGAGCGCACCGGCAGTGAAGCACGCATCTCATCCCCAGCCCACATCCCAGCAGCCCGCTTCCAGCGATAAGCAGCACAGTCACGATGCCACCACAGCCTCCCCACGCACACTGCAGCGCCAAGGGTAGGTACAACCACACAACTCACTGCAGTTTGACAAGAATAAATAGTATGAGAAATGAAATAAGAGGCAGCCTTGTGTTATGTTTTGAGATAGTTTGACTTTGTGGCACCTCAGATGATCAACTCTGTCATGGACTATACTACTGACTAGCACTATCATCTGACTGGTCCATCAGTGTTAAAAATACTGAAGAAAAGATGTGAATTGATGACATATCATGTAGCCGTTTAGCCAAACAGAGTGCAAATGCTCTATCTGCCATGTGAAACAGCCTATTCTCATCAGACCATAAATGATGGAGTTTTTCCAGCTGTCTTCATTGTGTAATGTTGTGGCACCATCTGCTGGTCATTAATACAACAGTGAATTGCTGCTGCATTTAGTCATCTCTTGTCTTCATTCACTGAAGTCATGCTTTTGTTTGTGGAACAGTTTCTGTTTGTGGTCAGTTTAGATGTTTACTACTGTAGTTGAGGGTATTTCAGTTCATTTGTTGTGTACATATTTGCATATAAACACACAGCTATTCACAGAAATACTCCATCATCATCCTACTCCTGTGTATCAGTTTTTTTGTTATTGTTGATGTCTCGTTGGTTGTTCCCACCTTGGTATATGATCATCTGACGCTTTAAGAAATACAAAGTTTGATGGGTAGCTGTCCAAATTCCTATCGATCATCAATCCAGTTCTCCACCACCACCACCGGCATTCATACCTCCTTTTCTTCGATGCTCGCGCTGTCCTCTCCCTGTTATATTTTGCCGGAGGTGACGCAGGTCTTCACGTTAAACTAAAATTGTGTAGGAACCCTTCGCTGGGGATTGGGTACCTTCGGGAGCTTGGCTACCACGACTCAAGTTGGACTGTCATCCACAACTATCGTTTTGTTCAACCTGTTGGCTCTGACGGTGTCCCCCCTCGTTCACATGCCTGACTGGTGAAACGCTCCAGCCGACGCTGTCTCCATGCCCATCTTCGCCCAGTGACCCGGGCTGCCTTTCCACAGGAAAAGCCCAGCTTGCTCCAGTTTGCTCTTTTCAACGCAAGGTCCCTTAATAACAAAACCTTCGTTCTAAATAATCTCATTTCCACCCATGACCTGGGATATGTTCTTAATCACAGAAACCTGGTTAAAACAAGGTGACATTTCTCTTTTCTCTGAACTCCTACTGGCAGATTATCCATTTCTTAATACCCCGCACCTCGTTGGGAGAGGTGGCGGGTTGGCATCTGTTTTCAAACTGACGTTAAAATGTCGCCTTCTTCTCTCTGCCTTCTCCAGTTTTGAGCTACAAACCTTTTTACTAACTTTGTACTGCCCTATTTTATGTGTAGTTATTTATCGGCCTCCGAAATCGAAGGATTTTATTTATGAATTTGGGGAACTTTTGGCAGTTCTTATCCCACAGTATGATTGTTGATATGTGGTGATTTTAATATTCACATCTGACCGGCTCGCAAACGAGTTTAATGCACTGCTGGATTCTTTTGACCTTACTCAGTCAGTTTTATGCCCCACTCATCAACATGGGGGCATATTAGACCTTGTCATCTCTCGAGGCCTATCTGTCTCCATTAAGAATGTGTCAAATCTGGTCATATCTGATCATTTTTCTCATTCGTTTTGAGGTCGCGATACCAACAAGGCTGCCCAGACCTGTGGCCCCCTTTCAACGCCGTAGGACTGTTGCCCCCTCTACTGCCACAGACTTTGCCGCTGCGTTTGTAGCCTCAGAGCTCTATGCCTCAGAGGATCAGAATCCTCCGGTCTGCCCGGATTATGGACTCCATTGCGCCTTGTAGGACGAGAAGGACTGGCAAGACTCTTGCTCCTTGGCTAAACAACACCACCCGGGCCCTACGGAGGAGCTGCAGAAAGGCTGAGCGAAAATGGAAAAAAGATGGCTGACGGCTTGCACATCTCTCTAGAGATTCTTAGAGGCAGCCTCCTCGCCTATCAGGAGGCTGTAAAAAAGGCTAAAACTCTATACTTGGTTAATATTATCACAGATAACAGCCATAATCCTAGAGTCCTTTTTAAAATGATAAACTCAGTTATTAATCCAGTTGGTATGATGCCTACTGAGGGATCAGTTTTGCTTTGTAACAAATTTCTGGGATACTTCAGTGAGAAGGCCGAGGCTCTTAGGCAGAATACTCCAAAGCCCTCACCTTATAGACCACCTGTAGCTCATGTCTTACATACTTTGGACTCCGTCACCCTGATCCCTCTGTCTCAATTGAAAGAATATATATTACATTTAAATCCTGTCTCTTCTCCCCTTGACCCGCTTCCAGCCAGGTTTATTAAGGAGGTCATTGACACCCTTGGACCTTCCCTGGCCAGTTTTATTAATCTCAGCCTGGGATTGGGCGTGGTCCCAACTGCTCTTAAACATGCAATAGTTAAACCGCTCCTCAAAAGACCTAACCTTGACCCTTCCTCATTATCGAATTTTCTCCCAATTTCCCTTCTCCCTTTTATGTCCAAGGTTTTGGAAAAAAGCATTCTTATTCAGCTGCAGATCAGCTCATTAGATCATTTCAAATTTGCTGACAGGTTTCAATCTGGCTTTAAACCCCACCATAGTACAGAGTCAGCATTACTTAAGATTCATAGTGATATCGCCATGGCCATTGATACTATGTGTTCCATTGTTTTAGTTCTCTTGGATTTATCAGCTGCTTTTGATACAGTTGATCATGCGATTTTACTCTTGAAACTCAAACACATCTTTGGGTTGAGAGGCACGGTTTTACACTGGTTTGCCTCATTTTTGACTGGCAGATCCTTCTCTGTCATCATTGATGACTGCTTTTCTCTCCTCAGGTGTTCCTCAAGGCTCAATTCTGGCCTCATTACTTTTCTTGTTGTATATGGCACCACTTGCGGCAATCTTATCCAGCCACAATGTCTATTTTCATTTTTATGCGGACGACATCCAGATTTACGTGCCACTGATTGTGTCCGACTTAAATTCACTAACTCCGTTGCATAATTGCATTCGGGCCATCAAGCAATGGCTGGCTCAAAATTTCCTCTACTTAAAAGAATGAAAGTATGTAATGAAAGTAAAACTGAATTTATTCTTTTCTGCCCCGATCTGACCATGGGCACAGTAAGCCTAGATGTCTCAGACCTCCCACTTTCGGGGGCGGTGAGAAACCTTGGAATAATATTTGACAGTGGTTTTACTTTAGATAAGCAGATCAGGGCTGTGGTTAAGACCAGCTTCTTTCATTTAAGACTTTTAACCAAGGCAAAACCTTTTTTTGTCACGCCGATTTAGAGAAAGCCATCCATGCTTTTATTACTTCACGGTTGGACTACTGTAATGCACTTTATGTTGGGGTATCGCAGGCTTTGCTTTGTAAACTTCAGTTAGTCCAAAATGCAGCAGCCCGGCTGTTATCTAACTCTTCTAGGTATGTCCACATCACTCTGGTTTTTCGCTCCTTGCACTGGCTTCCAATTCAGTATAGAGTTAAATTTAAGACATTGGTGTTTGTTTTTAAGGCTATCCATGGCCTCGCTCCGCCGTACCTGTCTGACCTGCTGTTGATTTATGTGCCGTGTAGAGCTATTCGCTTCTCAGAACACTTGTCCCTAGCTGTTCCGTGTTCTAGATATAAAAAATGGGGCAACCGGTTGTTTGCAGTATATGGCCCCAGGCTTTGGAATACTCTTCCTTTAGAGGTATGGTCTAAGACTGAGCTAGCGGTTTTCAAGTCGGCCCTAAAAATTAATTTATTAATTTGTTGTTGTTACCTCCATCTCTATATGGAGCTTTTATAACTTTGTTTTGTATACCTGTGTTTTTACTCTGTTTTTTTATTGCTTCGATATGGTCTAATATTTTTTAGTACGGTTTTACTTGGTGGTGTTTGTTTTACTGTGCAGCATTCTGGGCTCTCCAGTTGTAGGGTGCTGTATAAATAAAGTTTATTATTATTATTCCAATCTCTGGTTTATTTATATATTCATTCATGCACTCAGAAGTGACCCAATTAGGGATGGAGCTAACAATTTCCATCATCAGTAAATCTGCCCAGCTATTTTCTCAATTAGTTGAAATCAGGGCTTAAATTTTTCTGGCACTGTGCCGGATTTCTGGTGCAGACTGTTTTTAAATTTGAAAATAGATAATCATATGTCTATAGAAAATATTCCTGTGCGTCTATTTTAACTGATTCATAGCAATAATATGGCTCTATTTGTATGCACTCTATACATCCATAAGGACCCCTGTATTTGTATTCATAAAGTAGTGAAGTGTCAGCTCAATGATGCTCGTACTCTCGCTTTTTTGAAAAAGCACTGCAATAAATAGGTTGGGCATTATTGTTATCATTACAATCTTTTGGCAACAGTTGGCCTACTGTGACCCATATGCTGTTTAGAGCAAAGTTTGAAATATAGGCTTTTTATGGCTTTCACTGTTTTGCTCAGACTTCATTACAGTTACCAGATTAGTGTTTCCGATTGAGGAAAGGATGAATAAAGAATGCATTTTTCCACCATTTTGACCTTTCACGTTAACATGAGGATTAACAATTGGAAACGATTAGTTGTGCTGGTCCTGTCTGTCTGAAACAGATCGTGGTATGTGCACAGCTGTCATCCATCTGTCTTGTACCCTGCAGCTCACTGGGCTAGGTTTTTCAAGCATCTTATGCTTCCAAAGTAGAGTACAGTAAAACCTTGGATTGCGAATAACATGGTCTGTGAGTGTTTTACAAGACGAGCACAAAGTTATCTATAAATTTTAACGATAAACGAGTGAGGTCTTGCAATACGAGTAGTACGTACGTCTTGTCTGCCAAGCGTCACGTCACAACTGAGCCGATGGTTCTCGTGCATCACTCGTATAGTCAACATCTGTACTGCAGCAATGGCCCTGATGAAGAGAAAAGAAAGGTGGTAAGAAAAAGGAGATGATTATGGTGGAAGTTTAAAAGGAATTCATCCAGAAGCATGAACAAGGTGTGCGAGTGGCCAATATCACAAGATTTTATGTAAAATATGGGAAACTGCAAAATGTTTTAGAAAAGCACCACCCGAATAATGCTGTAGCATTACGAATGATAAATCTGTTTGACAATTTCACATTTCTACCAAATCCTCAAAGGGAGGCAAAAGCAAGTGTCATTGGACAGGTTCCTCGTTAAAGTCGCACAAAAATAAAAAGATTTCAGCAAGCCAGCAGATAGCTCCTCTCTCTTGTCTCCCTCATGCCAGCCACAATTCTTTTTCAAAGGTAAATTTGTTTTATTTTTACTTTATACTACATTTTGTATTACTTGTAACCATTTTTGTATGAATAAGTGGTTGTCGAACGAATCATCAGTTTCCATTATTTCTTATGGGGAAATTTGCATTGAAATACAAGTGCTTTGGATTGCCGGAACGAATTATACTCGCAATCCAAGGTTTTACTGTATCTCCAATGTATACATAAATCTAAATGATGTGATCTGAAGGTTTAAATGAGAAATTACTTGGGATTATCGAAACACTCTCATTACAGTTAACAGCAAGCACCAGGAGAATAAAAAGGAACAGTATTATTTTATAAAGGAGAAAAGGTTAATACCAGATATGTCAAACTTCAACACTCAGACTTGTAAGTTTGCTCATTTTTGTTACATTTTTAGTCCTTAATACAATATTTGTGTTTGACCAATATATTTAAAGAGCAGTTTCCAAATGTACGCTACAGTTAAACCTGTAGGTTCTCCGTTATCAGTTTATGGACTTGAAAACCCCAGAAATAAACTGTTTCTCTGTCACCTTAATGCTAAAGTATCTTTACATTGCTTCTGTGAGCTTGTTAACTGGTACCATTTTTGAAAGGCCACCGCTGTCACCTCACAATAATGCTTAGGCTCTTGTTTGATCTGTGCTGATTGCAGCAGTCAGAGGAGTCCTTCCCCGGGTCCTAACCATGGCACCTCCAGCAGCAGCACAAACACCTCCACCTCTGCTTCCACTGCACCCACCACCTCAGCAAGCCGGCCCTCCTGCTCCTTCACTCCTACCCTTGCTGCCCACTTCAATGAGAATCTTATCAGACATGTACAGTGTTGGCCTGCTGAAGACGCAGCGAAACAGGTTGGCACTCCCGGAACTGGAAACATACAGGCATAATGACAACATGCTTTAAAGTTCATTTTGTGTGTCAAAAAAATGACCTAAGGCGTCAAGACTACGTGAAGAGGCTCACACTATGGGCAGCATTTGCATGTCTGAGAACTGCACCGAACTCAAAAACCTCCGCTCTTTGGTCCGAGTCTGTGAAATACAAGCAACATTGCGTGAGCAGAGGTGAGGATCTATTTCCAGAATAAAACCATGCACCTGTGGAAATGTTAGCAATAATGTAGCTAACTGTTGTTATTTCTGTCTCCTCCTCACAGGATACTGTTTTTGAGACAGCAAATCAAAGAACTTGAAAAGTTGAAGAATCAGAATTCTTTCATGGTCTGAGAACTCATGGTGTGGAGTTGAATCGTGAGCGTTAGGGAAAATGGGAGATGACCAGTTGCACATAGTTGGAAGCTGGAGGGAGAGCAGTTGTTCAGTTCCTCTCGAGACTGGTCTGAGCACACACAGGAGCTGCAGTCACTTTGGCTTTGGACTGTTGGGCTGGGAGAACCAAGAAGGAAAAATGAAGAGATGTTGTGGGAGGATGGGGAGGGTGGGCAGATTTACAAGTTTTGTAAAAACCCACAGTGGAAAAATGTAGATTTCTTGTAGATGTTATCTTTGTTGTAAATATGTTTTGTAGATTGAAGCCATGGAAAGCCATGCCTATCAAAGCTTTTGACATCCAAACTAATCAATGCCTGGGCGACTACATTCATTAGCTAGCCTCCCCTTCATGTTAACCCATCTACAGACTTAAAGCTTCATCTTGTTAATTCATAGATCATTGAACCAGTGAGCATGTGTGAACTGCATGAAGATGGAGGAAGGATGTTTGAAGTCATTTATTTTCACAAACTTAGCTTGATGCATAACACATTGGTGTCATTGTAGTTCTTTTCCACAGATCTAGGTAAACTCTTTTTATGCCAACATCTATTCAGGCATGGTGAACTCTCTGCAACTCTGGCATAACTGCTCACAATGGTTCAGTGATCTGTTAGCAGCTTCTGGTGGCCCTGCATTTCCCAGTCTGGGGGGAAAAAACAGTGCCTGTTGGAGTAAGTGATTTAAACAAAAAAAAAAAAAAAAAAAAAAATAGAGATGTGATGGCGTGCTGCTTTGGATCATTCCCACTACCTTCCCCTGGCCTCAGCCCTGTCCTACTCTCCTGAGACACCAACACCTCACATCCTTCTTCTCATTTTTCCCCCCTCCCTTTTCCCTTGGTATTCCTGCAGTTTTTGTTCCTCTCAGCTTTAAGCTGAGCCGGTACCGCTGGTTCATTCCTTTGTACCGTTACTAACATAACAGTGGAGTTTTAAGAAGAAGATGCAAAGGAAAAAGGTTCTATTTTTAGTTGTAGAAAATTGCAATGATGTCCATGCATGTTCATTTGCACCCATTTTAGGAGAGGATTTCAGGTGGTTGGGGCGGATGTGATATGGATCACCCCTTCATTCAGCACAGGGCAATGAGAGGTCACAAGGTCAAATGTGAAATTTATGTATTGTAATAAATGTGTTAAAATGAGCACCGAGTATTTTATTGGAGTAGTAGGTCTGGTTCATACACTAGTGCCTTGTTGAAAGTCTTAAGCCTCACTCACCTAAAAACCCCACATTTTCTTTGATCCTGTTTGACCAATAATAAAAAGATATTCAATAAGCATGTCATGCAGAAGGTTGATTCCTCCTCCCCCCCCGCTGTTGAAGGGCAGGGTCCTAAGCTGCAATGGTTTTTTTTCCACCATGCTATCCTGAGTCTGTAACTGAACCCCGCACCACACATTCAGTAAAAAGGTGACCACGTTGTTGCTTTGTATATTGTTTCCTGAAGTATATAGGCAAATGAAATAAAATATGCCTCCAGGGTCACATTGTTATTTTGTTTTTGATGGTTTATCTTCAGTTTGTCTTGAGCGACTTCATACGGCTGTGTTTTGGATCATTTTAAATAGGCCGGCATTATTTACGTGTTTTTTATGGGTGGGAAGGCCTGACGGTAGCCTTATTTTTTTTTATTTTATTTTATTTTTTTTTTAATTAAAACTATGTACTACTTACTTAATGCAGCAGTTGTCATTTATAACCTTCAATTGTGAAATGAAGTTTTACAGCAAGATTTACATAGGTTTTAAGTGGAAGAAAGTTGCAACTGCATATGGTTTCATTCTTACCATTAACAGTTGAACTTGCACATTGCTGACCCCTGCTGGTGGTCATACGCCTCACACTGCAGACCAGTAGAAGGGACAGTAAAAACCACTGCAGTACCTATTTGTTAGATTTGCTGTGGCCCAATGTAGCATTTAAATGTGCAATATTCACTGCACATCTAATCACAACTATTAGAGAAAAAATTGGTCCGACCATTCCCACAGCTTTTGTGGATGTGCCATCTACAGTGGATTTAGAAACACCTGTAAGACCTCTTTTATACTTGGACTACTCTCCCATAGATCTCTGAGTTGACCTCAACAATTGCTTCATCTAAATCATCAACATGTCTCCTGGACCCCATCCCGACCAGGCTGCTCAAAGACGTCTTTCCCCTAATCAACACATCCATACTAGATCTGATTAACCTCTCTCTATTAACAGGCTATGTTCCACAGGCTTTTAAAGATGCAGTAATTAAACCTCTACTCAAAAAGCCTACTCTTGACCCAGGTGTCCTAGCTAATTATAGACCAATATCCAATCTCCCATTTATTTCCAAAATCCTTGAAAAAGCTGTTGCAAAGCAGTTATGTGACCACTTGCACAAGAATGATTTGTTTGAGGATTTTCAGCCAGGATTTAGAGTCCATCATAGTACAGAAACTGCATTAGTGAAAGTCACCAACGATCTTCTCCTAGCCTCCGACAAAGGACGTGTCTCCATAATTGTCCTCTTAGATCTCAGTGCTGCTTTTGACACCATTGATCACAACATCTTACTGCACTGACTTGAACATGTTATTGGGATTAAAGGAACTGCGCTAAGTTGGCTCAAATCCTATTTATCAGAAAGATTTCAATTTGTTCATGTTAATGACGAATGTTCCACACAAACTGAAGTTAGTCACGGCGTTCCACAGGGCTCTGTGTTAGGTCCAATTCTCTTCACTTTATACATGCTCCCTTTAGGCAATATTATCAGGAAGCACAACATAAATTTCCATTGCTATGCAGATGATACTCAGTTATAGGCCTGGATGACCTGCAACTTCTTACTTCTAAACTCTGACAAAACTGAAGTTATTGTGCTTGGGCCTGAAAACCTTAGAAATCTGCTGTCTAATCATATAGTTACTTTAGATGACATAGCTCTTGCCTCCAGTACTACTGTGAGGAACCTTGGAGTCATCTTTGATCAGAATATGTCCTTTAAATCACACATAAACCAAGTCTCTAGATCTGCCTTCTTTCACCTGCGCAATATTGCAAAAATCAGGAGCATCCTGTCCCAAAGTGATGCTGAAAAACTGGTCCATGCATTTGTTACTTCCAGGCTGGACTACTGTAACTCTTTACTATAAGTATATCCCAATAATTCCCTAAAAAGCCTCCAGCTAATCCAAAATGCTGCAGCCAGAGTAATGTTAATGACAAGGCTCCATCGTATCTTAAAGACCTCGTAGAGCCTTATCATCCTAACAGAGCACTTTGCTCTCAGAGTGCAGGTTTACTTGTGGTTCCTAGAGTCCACAGAAGCAGAATGGGAGGCAGAGCCTTTAGCTATCAAGCTCCTCTCCTATGGAACCAACTCCCAGTCTCAGTTCGGGAGGCGGACACCCTCTCTAC